AAAGTATTACGTACGTTGAAGTCCATCCCATGAGCGGGTTCTCCCATCTCTCCTGGTTGTCAAACTCCATCGTCCATTGGTGAGTGTTGTTGGTTCCAGACTGCATGGCGTTCTTTGATCGTCGGTATATCCTAACCAACCGACCGACTTCATCATCAGGCAGACCAGACACTGACTGGAGGGTGGGCTGAGGAAAGACAGTATCAGTAATAATTCACTAAACTGGGCACCTGTCATTATAAAAACATTGTTTTATTACTATTTTATCCGCGGGCATTCTTTCTATATCCTCTCTCTCCTTCTTCACAAGACTGGTCGCTGGTTTAGGATCAGTTGAGACATAGGCTACTCTTAGTCCTGTCAACCTGGAGCCATTGACAGACCATAAACTCAACAACCTTCTGACCGCCATATTTGTTTGTAGGCGTGTCTAAATATGACCACGCCCTTTTAGAGCTAAGTAGGCGTGGCTCCCCATTCTGAGGGTGTTATTGTGATAATTTGGAGGGAGAGACAGAGAGAGAATGATGGCTCTTCCCGCTGATCCAGACCCCATTACTGCTAGCGAGGACTATGCTCAATTCAGGAGCACCATACCTCAGAGAAAAGTAAACAAAAAGCAACAACAATAAAAAAAACAAATTAATTAATAAATAAATGTTTTTATTATTAATTAATGATTATTAATAGGTGGTGGTCGATAGATCCAGTATGACCTGGGTATTATATGATGCTGGTCCACGGCACATTAAGAGTCCGTTGGTTTGTCTACCTCCGGTCTGTGGGTCGGCCGACGTCTTCTTTAAACAACTCATGCACCTTTCGGCTAAAGGATACCGTGTAATATCTGTGAGTTAATTAATAATAATAATAATAAATTAATAATAATTGTTATTTTAAGAGCTTATGAATTTTCATTATGTTTGAATGACAATTTATTAATTGTTATTATTATTGTTGATAGGTTGAGTATCCTGTCTACTGGAGTGTCGATGAGTTCTGTGAGGGTTTTTTAAAACTAATAGATCACCTTGAGCTAACTAAAGTACCTTGTATCAACTCGTACGGTAATATTGAACATCCCTTTAATTAGATACACATTCTGGGTGCTTCTTTGGGAGCTTTTGTTGCTCAGAAGATGGCGGAAAAGACAGAGAAGAGTCCCAGGGTAGCGTCCATATTTATATGTAACGGGTTCATTGATACCACGGCCTTTAAACAAACCGGGAGTGCGAAAGCGTAAGAAATAGGAGGGAGGGAGTGAGAGAGTGACAGTTCACAGGTCTAATAGTGTTGAATGTGTTATCTATTTCTTTATCAAAGCTTACAAATTGTTATTTGACATGTGACCAATTCTTAACAAGTATATTAATAATAATCGAGAGTAACAACAATAATAATAGTAATAATAATAATAATGCAAGTACTTACCATTTATGCTAAAATTTATTTGTTAGTTTTTGGTTGATGCCAGCCTTTATGCTAAAGAGACAGATACTGGTCAACCTACCGAGTGAGAAATTAGAAATGGACGTGGCCAATTCAATAGACTTTATGGTTGAAAGAGTAAGTAGATTAACCATGAAGAGTAATAACAATAATGATGATATTAATAATGATAACAATAACAATTCTTCCCTCCAATGCTAATAATAATAATAATAATAATAATAATAATAATAATAATAATAATAATAAATGTGTTTTTGTTTTCCCTAGTTGGATATTCTCTCAAAGGATCAACTAGCCTCAAGACTAACGATGAATTGTGCCGCTAATTACGTGGAGCCTCAGAGACTAAAAGATGTCTACATCACAATAATGGACGTAAGAACATGACTCCACCCATCACTGGGATGGAGAAATATATAATAATTATTATTATTATTGAGTGCTTGTTTTTTGTTAGGTATTTGATGAGTCAGCATTATCGACGAGATGTAAAGAAGAGATGTATAAGTGTTACCCTGACGCTAAAAGAGCTCATCTTAAAACTGGAGGGAATTTCCCTTATCTGTCAAGAAGTGATGAAGTCAATACTCATTTAGAAGTAAGACCACACCCACTACCACACCCGCACCTTATACACACTACCTCGTGAAGTTAAATTCAAACAATGTTCAGCTTAATTTGATCTGCCATTTTTATGAATATTTTTTGTCAGACATGTCTCAAATTACTTTTATTAGTAAATATCATTTTTTGAATTGTGTTGTTCAGACAAAATGGCAGAACAACACAGAATATGGCTGGACAATATCTACAATGTCTACAATGCTGTTATTTTATTAAAAATTATAGTTATTAATTATTCCAGGGTCAGCTATATAAGTACATTCTCTCTTTATTTGTTAACACTAGATTCATCTACTGCCATTCCAAGGCACCAGGTATTGCGTGAAAGATCCTGAACTAGTTGATCCAGAAGAGATTAAAGCAGCTCGAGGAGAAATAGAGTTACCCACCACCTGATAGAGAGAGACTAGTTTAGTCTTAGGAGAATGTTTTCATTGTTTGTATTACGCTGTTGAGACTGAGTTATTCTTTTATAATTCAAAATAATATTTTAATTTCAAAATTGAAGCAGCTAGTTTGATTATACTATTAATAATAAATGGTCATTTAAATTTCAAAATAAAGGGATGCACACACTATGAGTGAGTATCATTCAAATTTAATTCC